CTCTCTCTCTCTCTCTCTCTCTCTCTCTCTCTCTCTCTCTCTCTCTCTCTCTCTCTCTATCTATCTATCTATCTATCTATCTGTGTCTCTGTATATCAGCGTGCGTGTATCCCTCGATCGCTCCTTTGTTTTCCGCCACTTTACCCCTGATAGTCCCCCAATGGGTCCCCCATCGTCGCCAAGCAACCAATCCCTTTAGTTGCCGCCCATCCTGCGCTGAACGACGTCGGACCAGGGCGCTCCACAGCAGAGAAAAGCTCCACCTTTCCTCATCTCTATCCCTGCTACCGTCCCTCCAAAAAGAGTGAGGAGCAGCACACCCGTAACCAGACCGTCTCTGCCCACTCCCGCCGATAATACAGAGGATTCCCCACTACGGCCCCTCGAAATTGCATCCGGAACCTGCATTTCTCAGCACTCCGGCATCAGTGCATAGTTTCCCACTTCTCGACCACTATGAGGATTGCCCTCACTTTCAACCTGCTTGATTGATCACTAATCCGATCGTTATTTCTTCTTGCCCACCAAACACGCAAGAAATTTTTCCAAAATTTTCCTCATCTGGGCGCTAAGCCACACCCTCCAAACTGCAACAAACAGAATTGCAATTCATTCATTGTCTACAGATCTCAGATGCCATGGCTCCGCCCTCCTCTCGCATGAGATGGCGGACAATCGTGAACACTTCCCCGTTCGCGGCAGAAACAACGTACCAGAAGCGAAAAATCGCTGTCCTGCGCGTCACACACCGGGGCGGTGGGGCATACTTTTTCCAACCTAAAATTTAAACTGACCCTGGGCCTACCGCGTCACAGCATATGCACATTCTGTTTGCACCAATTTCGTTTGGTGGGGAAAACATAAACACGTACTCGCCTTCTGCCCCTGTACTTTGCGGTATTTTGCAGCCCTGAGGCCGCGAACTGAATCCAACTCCAAGAGCTCCTTTCCCTTGCAGGCAAACACCGACCAGAACGGTATTCGTACAGGAGGTTTTCCCGGTTCCCGCAGGTGCATCAAGAAAGTGGCAAAGAGGTTCTTTTCTTGTGACCAGCGTCAAGAAAGAGGCAAAGAGGTGCTTTTCTTGTCACCACATCAAACAGATGTTGTAATGGGTGGAGGGATGCACACCTTGGGCCTGCTGCACTACTCTAGACTCTTTCGAGAGTTCGGCTAGCATTGTCAAGAGAGGCGAGACTCTCGAAATACCCGCCTTGGCTGCACTTAGGGCCTCGCTGCACTACTCTAGACTCTCCAAATATTTGGAGAGTTCGGCTAGCTTTGTTCTTTCCCCCCCTGAGACATTCAACGTTCAACGTCAATTTCAACGTCCGTGGTCGTCGGGAGCGTGGGCATTTGAGGTTTTGGGGCCTTGCAAGGGCCAGGAACGCATAGGACCGGTAGCTCCGAGTAGGAGGCCGAGGAGGCTGCAGTCCTTTTTCGAAATTGGAACGGTGCGGGTAGTCCTTTTTCGAAATTGAAACGGTGCAGGTCCTTCACATTGTATTCGAATACAATCTGTACCCTTTCTATTCAGATTTCGAAAAGAAAAACCACTTGTATTCCGATAAAATTACTTCTTTTTTTTGTTGGAGGTCAGCGCCTGCCCTTGTGCTCCCTGCCACTGACATGCTGCATGCTGCA